CCGCAGCTCCTATTGGTTGGGAACAGCGAACCATGGCCACTGGGAGCTGCGGGGGGCCATGCCTGCGGATGGTCAATGTCAGCAAAATGTTTCACGGCCTGCAATCAGATTACCCTGATGGGCTGCATTCGGCCCACAGGCAGCAGGTTGCCCACCTCTGGGACAAGATATTGTACAGAGAATACAAGAATGTCATTAGATAAAAAGATGGTAGGCCATCACCTGGAGCACTACGTTCATTTCTGGTCACCTCACCTCAAAACAGAGCTAGAGAAACAGAAGGAGTTCAGAGAGGGGCAACAAAAATGATTAGATTAAGGATTCATATAAGGAGAGACTGATAAGTGAGGGACTGCTTAGTTTATTAAAGAAATTAATTAGAAGGTAGATGAGAGAAATATGTAAAATAATAAATGAGATAGAGAAGGTAAATTGGACAGTCCTATTTTTCAGAACACAAGAACAAGTGGACAGCCAATGGAATGCAAGACAATAATTAGAAAAAGGCTAAAAAAGGAAATTATTTTTAAAAAATTGCATAATTAGCCTGTGGACTCACTGGCACTGGGTATCAGTTAGGCTAAGAGCTTAATAGGCTTCAGAAATGGATGAAACATTTATTTAGATAATGAGAATATCCACAGTTACATCAGGTAGAATAAAAAAATAAGGGATATGAAAAAACCCTCATGATTCAAACAACCGCTGACTGCCAGGCTTAGCAGACTTCCCCATGGAAATTTATTCAATAATTGTCCATGAAGGGGCTAGTCCTCTGAAGCAACTGGTACTGGTTTCTGTCAGAGATGTGATGTTGGACTAGATGGACCCCTGACTTGGTCTACCATTGTAGTTTCTATGTGACTGCAGAATGCGAGCTGCCCAAGATCACACAAGAAGTCAATGGTTGAGCTGGGAATAGAGGTCTGGAATTCTGATTCTCTACAGGACAGCCTAAGTGAAAGAGTTATTCAAACTAGACACAAAGTGTCCCTAGTTTGATTTTAAGGTGTATTACTCTATAATACAAATAAACAAAGAGAGATAAAACTCACATACTAGAGGAAGCCAATCAATATTTATCACCAGTATATTGTAGGTAATGGAAGTGGATGATGACATGCTCTTAAGAACATAATTCACTTTTACGAACAAATCTGCTAAGTCAATTTCTGTGCTGATTTACACCCATATAACTCCTGTCATTCCACAGTAGAGCAGAATTTAGCCCATCATATTTAAGTCTATTGCAATATATAATGAAATGTATAAAGTATTATACTGAGAGCAATAGTGATGACTGTTGTTGAGATTTCTTTTCTAATTGTTTGTTGAAGTGATTTGCCCATGGCCATATGAGAATCTGATGTCAAACTAAAAATCAGAAGCTTCTTATTCCCAGTCCCAAGCTTTTTTCATTTGGGATCTAAAATCCTCCCACACTTGCTTGCAGAAATACATACAAATCCCACAATCCTTTGCAGGTACAAAAGATCATGGGACTGTGTCAGTGCTTAAAGTGTGTGTGTGTGTGTGCGGGGGGGGGGCAGGAGGAGGTCCATAAAGGGGTACAGCCCTAGTTAAAAATTAAAGTCATCATGGTAATTGAACACTTTAAGCACGCTCTCAACAAAACTGCTCTGCCTAAACTCTTTGTCTGCATGACTGACCTTTTTCAGATCACTTTAAGCACTGAGTATGGTAATGACAATGGCTTTGGGTGGAGATTCTGCCGATGTTTCGGAGGAGTGGTAGATACGCTGGAGGGTAGGGATAGGATACAGAGGGACCTAGACAAATTAGAGGATTGGGCCAAAAGAAATCTGATGAGGTTCAACAAGGACAAGTTCAGAGTCCTGCACTTAGGACGGAAGAATCCCATGCACTGCTACAGACTAGGGACCGAATGGCTCGGCAGCAGTTCTGCAGAAAAGGACCTATGGGTTACCGTGGACGAGAAGCTGGATATGAGTCAACAGTGTGCCCTTGTTGCCAAGAAAACTAATGGCATTTTGGGCTGTATAAGTAGGAGCATTGCCAGCAGATCGAGGGACGTGATCATTCCCCTCTATTTGGCATTGGTGAGGCCACATCTGGAGTAGTGTGTCCAGTTTTGGGCCCCACACTACAAGAAGGAGGTGGAAAAATTGGAAAGAGTCCAGTGGAGGGCAACAAAAATAATTAGGGGGCTGGAGCACATGAGGAGAGGCTGAAGGAACTGGGATTATTTAGTCTGCAGAAGAGAAGAATGAGGGGGGATTTGAGAGCTGCTTTCAACTACCTGAAAGGGGGTTCCAAAGAGGATGGCTCTAGGCTGTTCTCAGTGGTAGCAGATGACAGAACAAGGAGTAATGGACTCAAGTTGCAGTGGGGGAGGTCTAGGTTGGCTATTAGGAAAATCTTTTTCACTAGGAGGGTGGTGAAGCACTGGAATGGTTTACCTAGGGAGGTGGTGGAATCTCCTTCCCTAGAGGTTTTTAATTTCAGGCTTGACAAAGCCCTGGCTGGGATGATTGAGTTGGTGTTGGTCCTGCTTTGAGCAGGGGGTTGGAACCTGATAGTCTATGATTCTATTCTATGTTTGGAGTGGACAATGAGGAGGCCATTGGAATTATGGGTGAGTTCAGGGCTGCTGGTTATGGGAAAGGTGCTGGGTGTCTGTGCTGAGTGTAGAGATTGGGGTTGTGTATGGTAGGGGCAGGTGGGGCTGTTGCGGAGGGGTGCTGGTGTTGGAGAGAGGGGTCACTTCTCCCCTTCTCACTGTGCTGCCAACACAGCACTCAGTTCTGGGGGCAGCACCACATAAAGCTGTGGAGCTCCAGTGGGAGTGGATTGGAGGTGGACTGAGAACAAGGCAGGAACACAGCAATAAGGAGAAGAGGTATTCCTTCCCTCCTCTTAATTTACTCGCTGCCACCAGGTCTCAGTGTTCAAGGGTCTCTGAATGCTGTTTTTCCACTCAACCTGTGGGTTGTGAACCAGTGGATTGCTGTCACAGGCTACTTGTGGGTCAGACCCTATGAGCTGAGAAGCCATTTTGTTTTAAGCTGCAGAGAAGACACACACTCCGCTGTTTCCCAGAGACTTTCCTTAGATTGAAATAGTATATTTTGCTCTTTGTATACAGAAAAACAATACAGTTAGAACATGTGCATTCATTAGAAGTCAATTGTTTGGGCTGGGATCTTTCTGAGCCAATCTGATCACAGCCACTTTATAAATTCTGAATTATTTAGTTCACACAGGCATTAATCCAACCAAATATTTTAGAGAGTTAATTAGTTCTGAGTGCAGTGGGGGAGTTTTTGGTGTTGGTTAACATTGATTTAGCTGATGTAAAGTGTTTAAAATGCTGTTGTATGTAGACTTTGCGGTGGATTGATAGCTACACTGCATAAATGGAAAAAAATAAATAAAATTCCATCTCCTGACATTTGAAAAAAAATTTGCCTCAAATTACTAAAGTCTTCACTAATTATAGGTGCCCAATTTGAGACAATCTGAGATTCAAAACCTGCAACTCCAGGTGAAGTCAATGGGAAGTCAATGGGAGCATTCAGCATCTTTGCAAATAAACACATTTCAAGTTGGGTGCCCACAAATGGAGACTTCCAAAATTAGTGGGCACTTTTGAAAATGTTGGTTTTTGTCATCTCTGTTGTGCTCTGTAATTTAGAGAAATATTTCTATCCGAATATTGTACACTGGGAAAAATAGTTTAGCTTTATTCATGCAAATAATCTGAACATATTTTTATTTCAATTAGAAAATAATAATTGATATTGGGATAGTGTATTAGCTGATCAGGGTCATTATCATGAAATTTAATTTGTGCTAATCAACTTGAGGCAGTAAGTGTGTGAAAAAGATCACTGTGTCATTTTACAGTAGTTTGCAGTGATCAGAACTACTGGTGGTAATTTTTTAAATCATTATTTCTGCGTGAATTTAGTTCTTGGGAAGTATCTTGGTGTGATGATGCACTCGGATATAACAGTCTTGGGCATGGCATAAAGCTCCAGCTAGAATAACATAGAAGAATAGACCTGACAAGCCTGAAGACTGTTTATCAAACAGAGTAGCTGCAGCAAGTGTTCCACATTAGCCCAACAATGTACCTCAACTTCTGACTTGGGAGAGGCAACCTCCAGGGCTGAGAGATTAGTTCATCTGCTATTGTCATAGGAGCTCAAGCCCTCAAAAGAAGGATGGTCTTGGAGTTAAGGCGAACTGGGATTCATGAAAGCAGAGTTCAATTCTTGTCTCTCTTGCCACAGATTTCCCATTGTGCCCTCGGACAAGCCATAATATGTGTTCAGTTAGACTATAAACTCTTTGGGATGGCACCTGTCCTCTCCAGTGTGTTTGATGAGCCCGAGCACAATGTGGGTCTGATCTCAGTTGAGCCTGTAGGTGCTACTGGAATACAAATGACAACAACCACCCTGAAAACTGCTGAGCATCGTCAAGTCCTGTTGAAACCAATGGTACTTAGGAGTGCTTAGCAGCTCAGTCCTTGGTCTCGCAGATAAAACTGTTTAAAAAGATACCATTTAATACAGTCTTGTGGACACCTGTCTACTATGTCCTTGACTGAGGAAATCAGCCCTATTGTGCTTAGGCCACTGAACATGTATAGGTGTTCGGTCACTTTCCTCTTGAGAGAAATCCATATTAATGACCTTGAAATGAAAGGCTACGTATGCCATTATCAGTCTCTTGATTCGCCCAGTAAGAATGAAATTAATTTTGGTGTGTGTAGCTTTCAGATGTTAAAATCAGACCCCAAGAAGACATACTATTGTATAATATGTTCTCAGATACTTCTGTGCCTATTTTGTGTCCTGCAAAATATAAAATAATTTTTGATTAAAATGATGTTAAGGAATTCAATACAGTGTTGGCATCTGACACAGCTCAAGCAGTCAAGCGCAGGATACAAACTACAAACAGTTAAAAAATATAGGAAGGAAGAAATAAACACTGCTGAGTTTCACAGATTTCCAATGCACAATAAAATATTTTATTTAAAAACAATGCATTCAATATTGTGTTTTGGCACATGAGTCAATGTTGCAGGCACATTCACACCGAACAATAACATTGTGAAAAGATTCAAAATGAATCATTGTGTTTCCCCCCCCACAAACTACAGTCACAATAAATATGCAGGATTTCTCTACAAAAGGAAACAGGTTCCTTGTTCACAAATATGACAACATATTTACATGTACATTACACTGTGCAGGCCACATTCAAATCTCAGATGTGTGGCCACATCAAGTACATATTAAGTAATGCCCTGGGGCCTGATCCTGATCCCACTGAAGCCAATAGTGACTTCAGTGGGAGCAAGATCAAATACCAGCTTTTGCATGCAACACATTTTGCAACATGTGCAGCTTTGCACGCCATTCACCTGAGATTATATCCTGGCCCATAATGGACATTAATACTATTTTAAAAATAAATAATACTTCTAATATGGCCATTAACTAATAAATGCTTTATTACAATTATGGCAGATCTGTTTTTAATTTTTTTATTATTTTTATGTTTTTTAGTTAAAACAACTCCATCAAGCATTGAACTGCATGGTCATTGGAATAAAGACACATTCATTTACAGAAAACCTGCTTTCTAAATCATTTCTTTTTGCAGCCTCTATTCACAGTTAGTTATATTTCACAATCCTCACTTTTTGGTATACTCAACTGTTAAATAAACAAAGTGATAGCCAGAATGACTTTTTGTGTGTGCCCTACATACATGTAATATTCACTGAAAAAATGCTAAATACTAAAATGTTAAATAAAGATATATAAAGTAACAGAAGTAGTATACATACATCTCCAATTTTTATGTACACTTTTTGTTTTTTTGTTTTACTGCTCTCCTGCCCAATCCCCAATATACAAGCTAACATCTAGATCAGCACAACTCCTGTGTTACACTCTCACATTTCTTTGTGAGTTTACACATGCATATCCTCATTCCATCACAGGTCTTCTTTATAGGTGGCTTATACCCACTGAGAAAGGAAATAGGCATGCAGTTGCTCACATAAATTCAGTCACTGAGTTTACTGGAAGTAGGCTAGGCCTTTATGGACTGTGCAACAGTATCATGAACATCAACAAGTCCTGAGGTGATCAGAGCTAAGTTCTTAAAACTTTAGCTTGAAAGAGCTTAGGGCCACTATTTATAGATAAAATTCACCCTAATGGATATCGTGCATTGAAAGCCCTCCATGGCACCACAGTCAACTGCTGCAGAACAGCATCCAACCCAACATTGTGCTCACCCAGGAACCTTATAACCCTATCCTACCTCGTCTCCATTTGCTACCTGTCCCATGGTAGGCATTCTACCCTCACGAGACAGGGCTGCATTGGTTTTGAACAGTTCATGCCCTTCTCCTTGGAACCAGTAACCATGATTCAATATTTTAAACAAAAATGTTTTGAAATGACACATATGTGCATACAGTGTCATACATCTATGCCTATCTATTGAAACATTCACTTGTATTAGTGCATATTTACCCTTCACCATTAGGAATCCATTTAGATTGATATAGACAAGAAGGAATTCAGATTGCAAGAGAAAGGCAGGAAGAGTGTAGCCAACAAGATAACAAATGTAGGCATGATTTACCCTCCTCAATACCTGGGATGGGGTGCAATTTTTGCCACTTGACACTCAAAGAATCTGATCGGCTGGAGGCAAGCAGCTGGACGAGTTGCTTTAATTTATGTGGGGTCTCCCTGTCAGTCTGCTTGGGAGATGTGCTGAGTCAGGACACCTATTGGGTGCTCCTGGCCCTGCACCTTCCCCGTTCAACCCCATTCATTTGCTTGTCTGCACCACTTTGCTTTGATCTCTCCATAAAACACAACCAGAGTCTGCCATAGGGATTAGTCATGGAGTTAGGTGCTAACTACTCACTGTAAAAGTGGCAGAATCTGGACCTTCAATGACTTTGGTTTGTGAACACTGAGGTGTCAAACAGGACCTTTGACTCTTTTCAGGTTCACCCCCCTGAAAAGGGTTACATGGGCCATGAGCGAGACACAATAGGAAAAAGACACTGATCTCAATCCTGCAGTTCTGACAGGCAAAACACCTGCTGACGTCAAAGGGAGTTTACCAGCACAGATACTTCTGGATCAGGCTCTTAATGTGAGTTTCTCCAAACAAACTGATTTGAAAATGGAGATTTAGGACAAGAAGAGGGGCTTGATCCTGCTCTGAATGAATCATGTGGGAGTCTTTCCATTCACTCCAATGAGAAGAGTATTGGCCCCCAAAATAGGGTTCCTTTAATTTGCATAATGAATCCTATCACTTTTGTCTCTAAACAAAAGCAGATTTGAAAGACCATCTAGAAAAACAGAAGGATACAAGTAATACATTGTTTTAAAGCATGGTTTCCACATTGCAGCAAACTTGAACAAAGAATATTGATACCAAAAAGCAATTTTCTTTGGGTCTTATTGTGTCATTGATTTTGAAGCAGAACTCCCAGCTGAAATCGATGGCTCTGAAACATTCAATGGGGCTCTGAAAAAACAATGGGGAGTTATGCATAAAAATCAATGGTATGATATGGCCCTTTGTCAATAATTTTCTGAATTCCTGTTTCTGATATTTAAAGATATTTATAGGTTTCAGAGTAACAGCCGTGTTAGTCTGTATTCGCAAAAAGAAAAGGAGTACTTGTGGCACCTTAGAGACTAACCAATTTATGTTTCTCACTTAGCACCTACTGCCTCTTTCTCCCTGCTATAGCATCACTTTAGTGCTTATCAAACCATAGTCTGTTTTCAAGGGCAAAATTCTCCTCTCAAGTGCCCAGAGTGGATCCCACCCCTGATATTCTTCTCTTGGGAGTTCTGTTCCTGTGGAGAGAGCAGAACTTGGAGTCTAGTTCTACTGTGTGCCTTTGAGAGGAGACTTTTGCCCTACAGTACCATAACTTCACTGCAAGGGATAGCGGGGGGGGGGGAAAGGGGGGGGGAAGAGAAACAGGCTATAAAGGAGGCAACATTTGTTTAAACTAAACACATTCAGCCCTGGTATAAGTGGCAAAACTCCATAGTCTACTTCCTTCAACAATTAGGGATATAGTTTTAGAAGAGTGACCTTCCTTTTACAGAGCCGTTTGTCCCCATAATTTTTCACTTGCAATTCATTTTGTGGGTGCAAAAGAGCAAGCACAGAAACAGAATCCAGCCCGCAGATGAAAATAATAGCAAGCAAAATTATGAGAAAAGAAAGCTGGAGATTACATCTGTGTGGAGATTGGAATTTCCATTTTGAATAGGATTTTGAGTTTTCAAAATTTGTTTTTGTTCTGATAAAGAAAGAAACCTGAACAGTTCAGAATTCTTTGCAAAAGAAAATTTCAGAAAACAAAGAATTGGGGCTGAATGAAATGTTTCGTTTCAATTTTGGCTTTTTACTTGATATTATATTATAATATATATGTAATATAGAATACAAAATGTAAAATTGAAACAAACACCATTTCAAAAGGAAAAACTGAAACGTTTTGTTCTGAAAATATCAAAATGGGATATTTTAACATTTTTGAAACTTTTTTCCTTTTTTTTTCAAACACAATTTCATGAAGCATTTTTGATTTCAGTGGAACCTCTTTTTCCAATGGAAAATAGTTCCATTGAAGTTCTTCTGACTAGCTCTACTGGAGAAATAAATCCACTTTCTGAACAAGGAATGGTAGAGCAGTGCAGAACAAAACTCCAGATCAGGACACCAACCCAAAATACAGATTCAGATCCAAATGTTGCCACTATGCTAAACAGTGACATTTACAGTGAACTCAGATAGCATGGGACTCCATAGTGAAGTGGATTTAGATCCAAAATGGTTTCAATTCACTGAAATGTACCAGACGAAGTTTTGGATCTAGAGAATTTCTGCTTGGAGTGATGCTGCACTGTGAAAAAATGATGACTTCATCATAAGAAGGTCCACTGCATTTTAAAAGTTTCTGATACTCTTATTCAGATTCATTAATACCTTACTTCATGAGAATTCCCATTGAAGTCAATGGAAAGAAGACAGTGGAATAACCCATGCAGTAAGGTGATATTAAACTAGAATAAAGGTGTTGGAATCTGGCCCTAAGTAGATTGTTCCCCTTTGTGAAAATGTCTCTTGAAGATGCTCTACGGGACTGGATGGAAAGAACATTCATTTAGACGAGTACATATTTGCTTGTGATTACATCTAATTAAATTCATTAGTAATCTAAACTTGTACATAACTATGTACCTAACTTGCACATAACTATGTAATGTAAACAATGTACAGTAGCCAAACATTGACATTGTTGGCCAATATAATTTCTTATTGTTGAGAGCCAGCAACTGAAAAATATATACAACATTTTGGCCTCAGCATTAAAACAAATATGATGCTAATTGTTCATATTTACTTAACTAGATTAAAATTATAGTTTCCCACTGTTGAAATTAATAATCCATCACTTAATTAAAATGCCAGCTACCAACTATGAACCCTCCTATAATATTTTCTGTTCTCCAGTGATTGAGTTCCACACAGTACAAAATATGATACAATGTTTACAGAATTAGGTGTGTATTGGTGACTGTGTGTGTATATTAAATTAGACTAAGAATATTCTATTATTCATAGCAGTGAATCAAGAATGGATTTAGATTCCATAGTGAACACACACATACTGTACAATCCAATAGTAAAGTACACTGGAAAAGATTAATTGACGTACCTAGTTAATAATTAGTGCAGAACCCTACCCTACCTAACTCTCATTCTTCCCTTTTGAAAAATATGTAAATAATGTTTTCACCTTCCTTAGACACAGGCACCCAGAAAAACACAATTGCTCAGAACTTAATTCTGGGGCTGTTGCTCCTCTTTTACCCACTCTGCACCCCCAGCTGCGATAACTGGGCCTACAAATTTACCTGAATTGTGAGTTCCATTGTAAAAAGTCAGTGTAAGTTCATAAGATGTCACAATAGCAACAAATGCTGATGGGAAAAGGTACGAAAGGGAGAAAGACAGAATTAGTCCATACAAAAAGGCCTACTGATATAACTCAAGGACTGTGTTTTGATCCTGCTTGTAAGCAAGAAAAATGTTGAACCAGAAATTAGTAAACCCAAATTGGTGTGCCAGAAGTAGGCCTAATTGGTGGACAAAATAATGAGGGGATGTGCTACTCCACCCACATGCTATTCCATCCACTTTTGGGGTCCTTAAAAGAAAAAGACTTTGGGGAGAAAAATTGCTACCAGAGCAAGCTTCACCATCATGGCTGCCACCCCACCATCTCCTGGGACCCCTGGGCCTTCATCATCCTGATCTTGAGAGATGTCCTGACCAGACCAGGACAGAGAGAGAGAGAGATAGACCCAGAAGACATCACAACCTCTACTTGGCTCCAGCTGAATCCCAAACACCATCTGGGATGAAATAGGATCAAACTTTAACAATAGTATCAGGAACAACAGCTCCAGCCCATCTCAACTATCTTCATCAATTTTTCCCAAAAGGACAGTTAACATCATATTTGGTACCATCTAATGACTGTCAAACAAAGATTCTTCTTCTGTCTAAAATTCTCTTCAGCTAAAGGGAAAGGGAACAAGGGATGTTGTTAACATGAAAGCCTTACACAATACTTTGTATTTTGCATCCTTTAACTGTTTTTCTCTCCTTGCTGTATCTTTAATAAAAGGTTAAAAGGGATAGTTAACAGTGTGGTTGCCATGGTACTAAGTAGGCTGAGGTTTCTGCATACCAAACCCCAGACCTTGTTTAACACTGTTTAATATTGGACAGTGCCTGGGTTATGCTAACACATTTAGCCCATCTATTCCATCTAAATTAATAGAACACTCCCCACACTCTTTCCTCAGTCACAATAACACCTCACTTTGCAAGGCATCAAAGGCAGTTTCTCCCAAAGGACACAGCAATGCCACTCCATGGCTAGAAGGAAGTGGCCTGTGAATCCCACTGGACTTCAGGAGTACCATAGCAATCACACTCACAGTGTAACATGGCAGATTAGTAGTTACAAGGGATGGGTCCAATCCTGTAGACCTTTACTCATCTGACTTCAGTAGGACTAGTCAGAAGGTAGAGGTTTTCAGGGCTGGGCCCTAGCTCCTTAACCTGAGTATATCTTAGTTTGTAAGCTCTTTGGGGGCAGGGACTGTCTTTTTGTCTTGTGTTGGAACAGTGGCTAGCACAATGGAGAACTAATCCCCGATTGGGGATCCCACATGTTACTGCAATGCAAATAATAAGTAAAATAGCAATAATTAATCATATGGAGCCATGATACATTGGTACCGCACCATTATGAGGCCACTTAATAATAATACCTGTAATAATATTCTAGTGTATGAATTCTTAAGAATACCGAGCAGGACAGAAAAAGATACCAGGAAAGCAGATGCAGGCTTACACAACTGGGCAAGAAACTTTAGCAATACTATGTTCAGACTTCAGAAGAGTCTGAAGTCATCCATTAACACTATGATGGCATATTCTATACTCTGTGAGTTTGGATACAGGCTAACCTCCTCCTGAACACTTTCAGTTTTAAGTTTCTATTTACAAAACAAAACCAGCAAATTTTTGGTGATTTATGTCCTCTCCATCAATCAAAGAAGAATTTTGAAAATGGTTTTAAAACTCTTGCTGTTTCAGGATTTCCACTCAGTGAATGGGCCTGGTGTCCTTCACTGGTGGAAATGCCACTTTAAGAACACTACATAGCACAGGCTGAGTCTGATGATGCAAAGTCAGCTGGATAGAATTTGCTTTTCCACCAAAAGGCATTGGGATTCAGAGTTTTTTAAAGTTGTTGCAAAGTGGCTCTGTGCTCCCCTCACATGGGAATCCTGAGGGAGGTGAACGCTTAGAAAGGGAGCTAATACTCCCATTAACCTGATCAGGGCCAGAATTTCACCCTAACTCTCAGGCAGATTTTCACTCAGAAAAGAACTGAGAGAGAAATTCCTATTGAAATCAAAGGCAAAACTCCCACTGAGTTCTTTAGGGTCAGCATTTCACCATGGATGCTTAGGGGAGTATGCTAAATAAAGCAGTGGTCCCCATTTCCATCCTTCACCAGTCCCGGCATGGCCATCTCAAGCCAAGGTGCAGAGGTTTCAGTGGATTCCATGGAAGAGGGAGACCATTCCTCACTGATTAGAACATTCTTTATATTACCCTGGAGTTTTCCTTTCTTAAATTCTATTTCTACTTTGTAGATAAAGAATCTTGGAAAAATTAAGATAGCAGCATGTGTGATGTTTTACATCATTATTAGTTATTCTTCACTTAAAGCCATATAAAATAATATAAAATTGTTAGAATATTTTAAAGTATAATGGTTTTAATTTAAAAATATTACAATCAATTGGCCTGAGACACAATGGCCAACATTTTCAAACTTAGTCCCCAAAAGTTAGGTCCATAGATAAGTTGCCTGAATTTCAAAGTGGTTTAGAAACCTGTATCTCCCATGGACTTCAGTGAATTTTTATTTACCTAAATATGGAATTAGGTGAATAACTTTTGGCACCTACGTTTGAAAATTTTAGCCAGTAATTTTAATCTGTTCCCATTGTTGGCACTGAGCTTATCCTCATTGCTCCCAAATAAAAATAAAATGATCAAAGATTTTTGTTGAATTATGTTTCATCATTACACTTTTTTTTTAGACATAACTATATGCACTGGTTCAGGAGCAATGTAATGGTTACCCTAATTTCTGCACATCTTTTTTAGGAGGACACGGAGAAGGAGCAACAGGATGGGGTATAGTATTTCCAATATGGATGCGACTTTTAGAACATAACACAATGTATCACCCAAACACATAGAATAACTGTGCTTGAGGTACAGTAGCACTAAAAGGAAAAAGAAACAATGTATGTGAAAATCTAATTTCTATCTTGAGCCCTGATCCTATAATGAGACCTGCATGGGTGGACTCCAGAGGCCGCGCAGAATGCATTGCAGGACCAGGGCTTTGGCTGGTCATGGAATGGGCTATGAAGTGGAAAACCCATTTCTTGCAATGGCTTTAGAATATGTGGGTTAGGCTTGTGAAGACTGGGAGTGCAGCAAGAACACTGATGAAGGGGAGTTTAGGAATAGAAGAGCCTAGGTCAAAGAGACTATTATAAACTGTGCTCCTCTTCCAAAGGATCTATATTCCTAAAATCACTGCCAGCCCCCTTTGGGGATGTTTGGATAGGATTAGAAAGGGTCCTTCCTTGGATGTCTCCAGGGGTCTCCTCATCACAGAAAAGAATTTTTTTTTAAAAAAATTATATTATTAATCTTGATACATTAATTTTAAAATCAAACAGCCAAATTCTGTTACACTGATGTTAATGACAACATTCCCATTGATTTAAATGGGTCCGTCTCTAGGATTTGTCTCAAACTGAATTAAAACACTGAAGTAACCTAAGAACAATTTATGTATCTAGCTATGACAAGGCCCATCACTTTAATACTATTCCTAGGAATATGTAAAATACAATACCACAGATCATATGCAAGCTGTGAAAATCAGAGTCTGTTCTAAAGAACTAGAACTTGATAGTAAATGGAAAGCTTAATTAGCTTTCTCCAATTAGCCATGGCAACATGTGTATGTTTCACTACTAATAGTAATAGCTGTAAGATAAGCAAAATATTTTAAACTAACGGTTCTAATTCTAATCTGCATGGAACATTAAAATTTGGAGGTTAGAGGCATTTAGTGTAATGTTAAAATATATATATGAAAATATTTTAAAACATGTATTTAGTAGCATATCTATAAATGCAAAATATCTATCTTAAAGAGTTTAAACTTTCCTGGTCCATGAATAGTGTCAGTATATTTTGATAAACACTTCTGCATTGCTAAATATGCTGAAACCTTTTGATGAGCTGTGAAAAGGGCGATTAAAAAGCATCTTTATATTATGGAAAATATTTTAGGTTTTTTTCTTTTTTTTAGGATTATATTTTAAAGAATGTTTAATTCAGTTTTGGGCACTTTTTAAACAATCATTTGGCACTTCAAGTTTTAAGTTCTTAGGCACAATGTGACAAAGTCAGTTTAGTTAGTCCTTCACCATGCATTTTGTAGAGCAGCTGGAATTCTGCAGGCAGCTGGTGGGACTCCTGCCACTTGGTAGTGAACTTTGTTCCTTTTTTATCGTAGTAATGGTATGGGAGGTCTTCCCTGGTGTTAGGATCAAATCCAAATGGCCAAAACCCATACAGGTGGATCTCTTCACATATTGCAGAAGCCAGGGTATACATAAGAATACCTGTGCTCAGTCGCTTGGGTGACAAGTGTTTATTTTTCCAGTACCTGTGAAATAATAAGCAGAGGCTGATTCAGGTACCAATTCTGTATATAACGATTTATAAGAAAACAGGACAGCGGGTGGAGAATGTCAATATTCATAAGTGATCATATGAATAATATTAGGGTTACTATTCAGGTTAGGCCTTATTAAAATAGCATGAATATAACATACTGTTACTGAAAACACTATCCTTGCACAAGTTTATCACAGACTTTTTTTGTGCCTCTCTGCAATGGTGCCCATTAGGACATCTGTTTGTTAGTCCCCCAATCCTGCAAAATATTCCCTGTCTCCAGAGAGATTCCTTCACTTTTGCAGAACCCCACTGACACCATCTGGGCTACACATGGGCTTCCGTATGCCTATGTCGAGGCAACTGCAGGATCATAGTTGTAGGGTTAAATTAACCCTTGTGCAGACAGCCATTACAAGGCTATGCACTACTTATGCCAATATTATTGCATTGCATTTACAGTCTTCAACCTGAATAAGAGTGCCTAGAATTTAAACTAGTCTGAACTGCAACCCTGCTTATGTCAAGCCACCTTGTTTATATGATCACTTTGGCTATAGGCTGGCTTATAATACTTACAGCCAAGGTTGATGGTGCTCTAGTGCTATATTCATTGTGTGATTCACCTGTGTGCAGTGGGACAGCACAAAACCCACGCAACCACTTACATCCCACTTATGCTGAATTGCATGCCATATCGACCTTGTGCTACTCTTTTGCACGGTGGCGGGGGGAACTTCACCTTAAGGGACCAATTGTGCTTCTCATTGAAGTCAATGGCAAAACTTCAATTGCCTTCAATGGGAGCAGGATTAGGTCCTAACCTTTAGACATTGCACATCAAGGCAAATTGTGAATGAAAAATCAATAAAGTAGTTGACTAGTGATATATGTTTCAATGAGTGAAATACGTGGAAAATACAAACCTGTTAACATGCTGCATTATATTTCCTGGCCAAGCCAGCTGGACCTTTAATTGCCCTCTATGCTCAACAAAGAAGTCAACCAATGTTCTTGTAACAGTTGCTGAAGTGTGGAAGAAAAAAGCTGGGATCCAAAGAATGGCCCCATCAAGCTTTTTTAAACTTAGAAAAAAGTTATTGCGATCCTGAATGGTCAAAAGATTGTTGTAATACTTTTCCAGGATGCTGGGATTGAAGGTTGTAAGGTTGGTTTTCCTTCCAACATCTTTTTGGAAAGCCTCAGTTGGAGCAAAGTTGCAACGAAAAACAAAATCAGACTTATCTATTTCTTGTCCACACTGACTCCCTGTAAGGATTCCACTATTTCCAACAACAGCACAAATGTTATAATGCTTATTCAAGACAGGTGAGACATCTGGAAGCAGTGATCTGAAGTTATTGCTAATAGAGAAAACATACTTATGGCTGGAATAATCATAATGCATCAGCTGTCCAATCCGAACACTATTCTTGGTCAAAGAAAAATTTTTTATTACATCAACATGCTGGAGAATTCCTTGCCTAAAATAAAATACAAAAGAACAAAATAAAACATTTCATTATATTTCTCTCCTTTATACAAAATAGAGGTTTTATTTCTTATGTCATGATTGGTTTTATTTAAAAAACAACTGGAGTAAAGTTATTCCAGCTGAGGGTTGCAATGCAACAGTTTTCAAATGGATATGAAGTGACAAGAGCTGTGAGACCAGATCCTCAAACCTTCATAACTTCACTGACTTTAATGGAGGATGCTGATTTGAGTTTGAGGTATATGATTGTAACTGCGTACTGTTTACACAGGATGAAATTCACTGCTGTGCAGAGACTCAGCAAAAAGACTAAATCCTATTTAAACCCTAACTTGAGGGCAATGCATTGGCCTTGTGCTGATCCTCTGGATAGGGGTAAATTTCACCCGTGGTAGTGAACTGATGTGCTTTGGTGAGACTGGATAGCTCTCATATGCCAAGATGTACTTAAAACAAAATGAAGCAGTCAAGAATATTCAATTGTATTAACAGTAATGTAGCTAAATTTTTAATACAAGTGCTTCTTGTACCTCATTAAGAAGCTTTGAGTCACAAAACAAATGATATTCAACTGTCTTCCCTTACATAAACATAATACCATAATATCTCATTTGGACAAGCAAACTGGAATATTGAAAAGGGCTATTATGAATCCTAAAAACACTCTGGAATTTCGTCTGCAGTGGATAAAACTAGAAAATGAACCATTACTGCTTTATTTGCTCATGTTTATGAAAAACAAACAACCTCTCTTCCAGCTCCTCATCCTCAAATGTCTAAGCATTAATGGAATCCCAGTGGGTACCCTAATTATGGTCTATTGCTAACAGACAAATGCAAGGCAGATCTTGAGGCATTAACTAACATCAACATAGAGGTGCAGCTAAGCTATTTCTTTTAGGGTAGACTGTACTGCAAGAACACAGGCCATAGTGGTGGCACATTGTGATGTCATTCCAGGAACACCCCAGGGAAGAACCACAATTTCCTCTCTGCTCCTTTCTGGCCCCTGAAGGGTTGTAATTTAGTGTTGGGCTATACCAGCCAGAAATTATTTCCCACAGCCTCACACTGCCTCATCTGCTGTGTTGACTAGTGACCAAAGAGTAGAGGGAGCAGAGCTAAAGTTCACCACCTCTCCTACCCATTCCAAGGAAACAGTTAGTAGGCACATTGCTCAGCTCTCTCCTTTGTTCCAAAACCCAAGACCGGGTGGGCTGCATAGGGGTGTTAAGAAAGTTCTTACTCCTTTACCTGGTTGTGTAATCCAAGACACAATCTAGCCTTTAAAAACAGTGGGCAATTTTCAGGCAAAATTTGTATTCTGATAATGTTATTGGCCTAGATTGTGACATCAATCTCTAGGCAGAAATCTCCACTGACTGATGATCAATGGCTAAACACATATATAAATAAAGAAAGCAAGAAGACTGGCCCAGCATTTACCAGCATTAGTATCACAAGTTCAAGAAGAGCAACAATGATCAACTAAAAAGCATTTCAGCTAATATTAAATTCTTGCAAATGTTGAGTTTTGAGGAAATGAAGGGAACTGAGGAATAATTTCAATTGCCATGTTGTCATCTTGTTAAATGGAATTTGGTGAAGTTGAGATGAAAATCGTTATGGAAAGAATTAATTTTAATTGGATCAGAAATGTTTCCATCATGTTCCCCATGTTTTAGACAACCAGAAACAACTATGGTTATAAAGACATAGCTAGTCTGCATTTTTACAGAATTACTGGTTGCAAATTGGCTGAGAAGTTTCACTAAAACAATTTTTTGTATTTTAATGAATATAATATTTGATATTTTTATATATTGACTCTTAAAGGTTTTTAAAAAAATTATCTTGAAATAATAGCAAATTAATTATCATTTTGATAAAGCTGGTCACATCCCATTAGTATTCCATTGCTGTAAAACAACTTCTGTTCTTTAATGAAATAATAAATTACCCTAAGACAGTGATGTATTTTATTTTGTATATTTTTTTAAACACTTCACCTTGTTGGGAAATGTTCAGACTCACTCTTTGTCTCAAGAGTTGCTGACAAGTTACTCAGAGTTCGGTATTTATAATTGTCTGATTTTATTTTCTAAATATACACCAACCACAGGTACATAGGGAGAGTGATAATTGCACTACATGGGGCTAGACTAGAGCCCCAGGCCTAACAAAACAGTCCCTGTGTTTGATTCTCTCTCACCTTTGATGTAAGAATGCTGTTCTATTAAACGTCCATTTGGAAGGCTTTTCCTGCAGCTCGTGTGTCAAAGAATTTGTAATTGGTACAAATGAAGGGTCCAGAAACTTCAGTGCAAACTGGGACCTGAAAAATGAGGACGCACGCACGTACACACACAGAATTAACAAATTGCTCAGGGCTGCGTTTAAAGATTCTGTCTGTTTCAGTGCGGATGACTTAATGGGCAGGGAACTAACTGAACAAAACCTCCATTTCCCCCGTCATAGTCTGGTCTCCCTGTTTAAATCAATCTGAACGAAGGGAAAGAGAGACTTTACACATTTCTGTGCACTGCAGAATTCATAAAATGGCCGTCAAAAATATTACCGTGCTGGAATTGAAATCAAATAGATGGGCAGGTTCAGAGAGCAAATCAGCACCACGGACAGCGATCGACCAGCAGGCAGTCTCCAGCAGCTAGCCCCGCTCCCTGGGCCTGGGTTATTATGATAAGAGGGTTCTGCCTGTTCATTTCATCCTGCTTTCCTTTCTCTCTCCCCCCAACCCCCCACTCCTCCAGCCTCAGACACTCCAGCAGTTTAACAACTCTCCTTCCCCTCCACCAGAGTGTCCCGCATTTCTCGGAGGGATCTGGCTTGTAGTCTGCCCTTGTTCAGAAAGCTCAGCACTGCAGGGCGGGGAAGGGAATCTCTCTCCATGTGTCCCCTAGAGATGCAACGGGCTTTGCACACGGACGGCATCAGCCAGCACAGAGCGCTTTTGCAAGGAGTTCCAGCCCCACCGCTGTGACCCAGACCCGTTCGCCTCTCGGATTTCCGGGGGATGCTGCAGTGCTGTCCCCTCGGCTCCCCATGAAGTGCAAAGCAGAATCCAAAGCGCCACGCAAGATGGGGATCTGAGCCACTTTTCTCTCTCTCTCCCTCCAGCAGGAAGAACAGCAGGCTGGGGAGGAAGGAGAGCTGGGAACCGCTTTGGGAGCAGGGGTCCAGGGCGCACCTTGTGCCCCGAGCCTGGATCCCTCTGCCGGGAGTGGCTTTGCGCTGGGCCCCGGGCTGGAATCTCCCTGGTGGAGGGAATTGCAAAGGGTGGAGGGGGTTGCAAGGGAAGACGTCTGGGGGAAACTCCCAGCCTTTCCCCACCTCAATCCAGGGGACCAGGGCGCCTGCGCCATTAGCTCGCCCCCTGGAATATATATGAACCGGGCGTGGAGCCACCATGATCATCAACTAATAGAAGCCTTTCCCCCAGGTCAGTCAGCAGCATCCTCCCCACCACACAGGCAGACCAAGGGGCCCTGTGGTTGTGGCCACTGATGTGAAAGCCCAGAGCAGAGCGGGCACATCGATTGACTCGGAGGGTGTTGTTTTAGTTTAAAAGCAACGCTCAAAGGATGCCCGGGCGAACGGGGAGAGCCCAGATGCAAGACCCCCCTCCGCCCCCGTGTGCACCCGTCCGCCTTAAAACGGAGCGAGAACCAGCAGGCACTTACCTGAATCCAGCATGGAACATGTACATTCGGGGCACCCCCGAGCTGGCATATCTGGGAGTGGTGAAGATATTGTCCTTTTTCAGGGACACGTAGCTGATGAGGGATAAGATCAGCAGAGCCACGCTGAGCATCACCAGCCCCAGCACACTCGCCACCCGGACCATTTTGCAGTTTCTCATGCCTGGGAAAGCAATGGAGTTGCAAGGGGTGGGGTGTGTGTGTAGGGGGGGGGGGAAGCTAGAGAAACCGGCCCATTGGCGTTACAGCGAGCGAGCAGCGATGGCGCTGTGTGTGCGCTGGGGGGGCGAGGGCGGGGGAGGCAACTCCGAGAGACAATCCGGAGCCACGGCAGCTGCGGGCGGGCACGAGGCGGAATTACGGATAAAATGGAGGGGCCGGCGCGGCGGGCGGCGCTGAGATGGCAGCCGGCTGCGCGGGGAGCGCGCGGGCGAGGCGAGGCGGCTGCCCCTCAGGCCAGGCCCGTTCCCGCCGGCGGGGGCACGGGCGGGGGAGGAGCGTGCCCGGGCCGTCACGACGAAACCTTCGCCTCCCAAACAGCCCGGGGGGGAGCGGCGCGAATGAACGCAGGAGCCACGGTGGCCACACGCTGCCTGGCGGGGCTGCGTTCAGATGGGTGGGGAGGGATGCAGATCGCCAGAGGCATAGGAACCCTCCCACCGCCCGACCCCCCCTCAGTGACCCCCACGCCCGCGACCCCCCTCCCACCGCCCGACCCCCCCCCACCGCCCCCCACGCCCGCGACCCCCCTCCCAGCGCCCGACCCCCCTCAGTGCCCCCCACGCCCGCGACCCCTCCCACCGCCCGACGCCCCCTTCACCGCCCCCCACGCCCGCGACCCCCCTTCCACTGCCCAACCCCCCCCACCGCTCCCCAAGCCCACGACCCCACTCCCACCGCCGAACCCCCCCACAGCTCCCCACGCCCGAGCATCCCCTCCCTCTGCCCAACCCCCCCCACTGCTCCCCATGCCGCGACCCCCCTCCCACCGCCCGACCCCCCCACTGCTCCCCACGCCCGCGACCCCCCTCCCACCGCCCGAACCTCCTGCACAGCTCCCACGCCCGAGCATCCCCTCCCAAGCGCCGAACCCCCCCCCACCTCTCCCATGCCCGAGCGTCCCCTCCCACCGCCCAACCCCCCCCCCTGCTCCCCACGGCCGCGACCCCACTCCCACCGCCGAACCCCCCCACACCGCTCCCCACGCCCGCGGCCCCCTCCCCATGCCCCAGCGTCCCCTCCCACCGCCCGAAGCCCCCCCACTGCTCCCCACGCCCGAGCGCCCCCACCTCCGGAACCCCCCCACTGCTCCCCATGGCCGTGGCCCCCCTCCCGCCGCCGCCCCCCCCACCATTCCCCATACCTGAGCTCCCCCCACCGCCTGAACCCCCCTCACAGCTCCCCACGCCCGCGCCCCCCCCCCCACCGTCCGAACCCCCCACGCCCGAGGCCTCCCTCCGCCCTGGCCGGAGACGCCCCGGGCCGCCCATCGGCCTCCCGCGTTCAGAACTTCCACTGAGAGTCCCCCCCCAAGAAGGGTTTGCGGGGTTCAGCTCTGGATGATGCTGGTGCTCCCACGACTAGTTTTTAAAAAGCAGAATGTGGTGCTAGGAGCTCCGCCAGGGCGGCACCGCCGGGCGAGCGGTATAAGGAAGGCTGGTGGAGCAAAAGGAAGCGCAGGAATCAACATCAAATATTCCTCCACTTACAAAACTCAGATGTGCTTAGGTTTCAGGTGAAATTTGCTCAGTGATTTGTCGATGAAACACTTTAATTACATTTATTTATTTGTTTAAAGAATTAGGACTTGTGGTAAGTTTTAAAGAAAAAGTAGCCAAATGCTACATTTTGAAATAGACTTTGAAGTCAACATCTGTTTTTAAATTGCCCAGTACCTCTAAAGGGTCTCTGTAAACTGCTTGCCCATCTACAAACAGTGTGTCTAAATCCTGTTCTACATACATTACAGACTCCATCATCCAAAGAGCAAGTAAAGTCTCATAAACACACAAGGTATACATTTTTCACAAGTAACCTTTAAATAAAAAGATTTGCACATACGAAAGTGCATTAAAACTGTTTTAAGCAATCATGCAAGGGTCCAATTCTGCAGATCCTTTAACAGGTAGTCACATTGAAGTCAAAGGCCTATGTGTGTGAATTAAGACCACTAGAACTCCCATGAATATTGGGGGTGGGGCAGAATAGAGCCCCAAAATACCAGCAGAATTAATGTGCCTTATTAGAGGCTGGCCTTTAAACAATGAGTCTACAGACACTTACACAGATTATACAAATGCAGTATTAGGAAGATCCTTTAAAGAGCTCATTTGCTGGAGGTGGTTGCTAGCCCAGTTTAACTGCTTAAAAAAAGGGGGAGGGAGCAAGAAGTGAAGAATAAAGAACAATATTGTCAGATACCGATGAACATACTTTGTTGAGGAAGAATCAACATGGTTTTAGTAAAGGGAAATCACGCCTCACCAATCTACTAGAATTCTCTGAGGGGGTCAACAAGCATGTGGACCAAGGGGATCCAGTGGATATAGCGTACTTAGATTTTCAGAAAGCCTTTGACAAGGTCCCTCACCAAAGGCTCTTACGCATAGTAAGCTGCTACAGGATAAGAGGGAAGGTTCTCTCATGGATTGGTGACTGGTTAAAAGATAGGAAACAAAAGGTAGATATAAATGGTTAATTTTCAGAGTGGAGAAAGGTAAGTAGTGGTGTTCCCCAAGTGTCTGTTCTGGGACCAGACCTATTCAACATACAGTTGGCAAAATTTGCAGATGATACAAAATTACTAAAGATAGTTAAGACTCAGGCAGACTGTGAAGAGCTACAAAAGGATCCCACAAAACTGGGTGACTGGGCAACAAAATGGCAGATGGAATTTAATGTTGATAAACGCAAAGTAATGCACATTGGAAAGCATAATCCCAACTATACATATAAAATGATGGGGTCTAAATTAGCTGTTATTGCTCAAGAAAGAGATCTTGGAGTCGTTGTGGATAGTTCTCTGAAAACATCCACTCAATGTGCAGCGGCAGTCAAAAAAAGTGAACAGAATGCTTGGAATAATTAAGAAAGGGATAGATAGTAGGACAGACGATATGATGCCTGTATATAAATCCATGGTACACCCACATCTTGAATATTGTGTGCAGATGTGGTTGCTCCATCTCAAAAAAGATATATTGGAATTGGAAAAGGTTCAGAAAAGGGCAACAAAAATAATTAGGGGTATGGAACAGCTTCCGTATGAGGAGAGATTAATAAGACTAGGATTTTTCAGCTTGGAAAAGAGATGACTAAGGGGAGATATGATTGAGGTCTATAAAATCATGACTGGTGAAGAGAAAGTAGATAAGGAAGTGTTGTTTACTACTTCTCATAATACAAGAACTAGGGGTCACCCAATGAAATTAATAGGCACCAGGTTTAAAAAAAAATAAAAGGAAGTATTTCTTCACACAATCACAGTCAGCCTGTGGAACTCCTTGCCAGAGGATGTTGTGAAGGCCAAGCCCATAACAGGGTTCAAAAAAGAACTAGATAAATTCATGGAGGATAGGTCCATCAATGGCTATTAGCCAGAATGGGCAAGAATGGTGTCCCTAGCCTCTGTTTGCCAGAAACTGGGAATGAGCGACCGGGGATGGATCATTTGATGATTACCTGTTCTGTTCATTCCCTCTGGCGCACCTGGCATTGGCCATCGTTGGAAGACAGAATACTGGGTTAGATGGACCCTTTGTCTGACCCAGTAGGGCCATTCTTATGTTCTTATGGAAATGCCCTCCTAAACCACCTCTTTGTGTCTCAGTGCTGCAATATGAAAAATCACCTACCAGGAGAATGAGTTAAAGAGGAACATCCCACCTGATCCAAGGGAAAATCTGTTGACTGGGGTTGGCTCAGTGTGATTTCAACACAGATTTTTGTATGTGCCAGGTCCTTGCACAATACCAGAAGAGCAGGCTGATCTTATGCTCTGCTGATCTTATGCTCAGCGTGGCTCTGCTGCGCTCCAAGATCTCTAAGGCAAGCCCTCCAGTGGATCATCCAATGTCACGTTTATAAAGTTATTCTCATCCAATTAAAATAAGTAGGCCAAGGGAGGTTAAGCCTCCCCTTAGCCAAGCCCTGGCCCCACCCACGCTGCATCCTCTTCCCCAAGCTAGAGACAGTTTGGCTCCTGCCAGAGTCCAGCAAGTGGCTGGGGCTGGCCCTATGGCACAAAAAGAGACTGATCCTTCAGGCTTCAGTGTAAAGACCTGAGCCCTGTAGGATATAGTACCTCCTGACTACCTATGTGGCTTTAGTGGAGTCCAGAAAGGCTAATGAAATTAGGAAGTAGGGTTGCTTAGGAAGTAAGGGATAGACTTATTTATATGATTTCTTTGTCCTCTGGTCAACTCTCCTATTCCTTGCCATGGAAAAGGTAATGTCCTGCACCATTTGCGTGCCTAATCAGTCTTCCAAGACTAGGCGATCCCAGTACAAAGCAAGCTTACACCTTCAGATATTACAGTAATGAGGGCCATATAAATATCTTGACAAACAGATGAAGTCTTCTGGGACTTTTGCGCCCCCACAAGGCCAAGTATCTCCTGGGCCTTAGGACTCCATAAAAGTAACAGTATGTATCTGTCTTAGCACATCTCTACCACCACTTTTGGGCCTCATACAGGAAATATAGGACCATCTCTTGATTTTTATACAGAACTCCCACTCTCATTAATAGAAGTTAAAGAGCGAGAATAGAATATTGCTCATAGTCTTGTCTACTCAAACATTTAATTTGCGGATAGTGTAAATCTATCCCACGTTTAAAAGCAGGGTAGCTCAAAGCAAACTAGGGAACATTTGATGTGTGGTAGCAGGGTCCACAAGGACACTCGAAGCATGGCAGGCTAGTGTGTGATAGACTGACACCCCAGCTTGTCACAAAGTGTTTGTGTAGATGTGCCCAAGTAGCGCCTATCCCTTCCACAAATGACCCCTGAAAAGAGTTTTAACATGATATTACAATGCATTTTAAATATTTAATTCTTGGAGTTCCAGTGAAAAGTATGAGTGAATCAGATGTGGTTTATCACAAGTCAAACAGAAAACATGAAAAGTCTTTACACAGTATTTGTGGTTCAACCAAAGAGGCTTTTATTGAATTATGCACATGTATGCTGCTGTATCTATAGTTCCTTCTGCATACACTGCCTCATGTTGGCTCATGGAAAGCATAGTTTTTTCATCAGTTGTTTTAATCATCATCTTCTATGTATGTGAACAACATGATGTCACTACAAATGATGAAATAAAGCAAATATGTTGGACATTTCCAATTTATGTACAAACAATAGTTCAGGAAGGAAGCATGTATTAATTCAAGGTGTTAGCAGCAGCAGTGAAATC